GCGCACGCACGGTCCCGGCGTGCGGCCAATGCATCCCCACCGCTGCCACCTCCTTTGCCTGCTGCCGTTCGGTGGCATGCAAAAAATTCCTCTGATTCGCATGTCCATGTCCTAGCCAGCACCGGCACGGGCACGAGTACCTAGTGGTGGTGCATCCTGCTTGCTACGTGTGTGGTCTAGCCTCTAGTTATATCTAATCTGGCCGGTGCGTCCTGCTCGCTGCGTGGCAGTGGAGATCAGTGGCGGTACCGTGCACACTGTTAGAAGGGATAGAGGGATTGGCGGAATATGATGGATGTATTATTGAGCCTCGAGGGCGAGTATATATTGAGTGCAAGACTTGGAGGGCAAGAAGCCTCTCTGGGAGATAAGGTAGGAGACAAATTACAAATCCTAGACTACCAAATACATGTATCCCAAATATATCTCTAACATCCCCCGCAGTCGTAGTGGTAGCGTTGCAAACGACGGGAGCGTCGCAGACGATCAGACTAGAAACGTGTGGGTGTTGCCAGCACCAGGCATGCGTAGATGGACAAAGACGAAGTTGACGAAGCGCCGCACCAGGCTTCCCAGGCCAGGGACACGCCGTGGACGAAGGCACGCATCAGTGTCGCCAGCACGAAGGAGGTGGATGGGCGGCTGTGGTGACTATGAGGGTAGCGGCGGCGGCAACTGAAGAAGAGCGGTGACGTGGCCGACTCGAGCCTGACGCAGCCGGCTCGAGGCAGCCGACGATACTGATGCAGCCGGCTCAACGCAGTTGGGGACGAGGCCGGCGAGGCAGATCGCGGGGCCGCCGTGCAGATGCGACGGAGGCAGGTGGCGATGGAGAGTTCCCAGTCGGATCGGGGCGGCGACGGCCGGCGCAGGGTGACGGCCGCTGCAGGGCGAGGCCGGGTAGATGCACGGACGACGGTCGTGAGGGGCCGCCTGCCGCGTGTGGCCGCCGGGTCAGTGCAGGAGCTGGCCGATTGCACCGGTGTTGGAGTAGAGACGCATGGAGCTTAGATCGGAAAACCAAAAAGAAAAACATCAATCAAGGTGACCGGTGGGAGAGAGAAAAACCCAAAGCAAGGGCTCGAGAAAAAGACTCTCTAGGGAAGCCGGTCAACATGAGCGGCGGACGAACCCTAGGTACGGGCGATGCGCAAGGCGGAAGCGGCGGGCGACGGCTAGAGTTGGATCGGTTAGGCTGATACCATGTTAAAAGGGATAGAGGGATTGGCGGAATATGATGGATGTGTTATTGAACCTCAAGGGCAAGTATATATTGAGTACAAGACTTAGAGGGCAAGAAGCCTCTCCGGGAGATAAGGTAAGAGACAGATTACAAATCCTAAACTACCAAATAAATGTATCCCAAATATATCTCTAACACACGCAATGCTAGATGGAGGTTTGTCCAGCAGATCCGGATGAAAAACTTTGCTCTTGGCTAGTTTCCAAGGCCGGCGATGGCAACGCTCTTCTGTTTCATCCCCTTCTTGAAGGAATTGCCGTGGAGAAGCTCCAGACCACTACCTCCTGGAGAAACCCTAAATCAGTCGATCGGATGACGGCGGCACTAATGTGTCGCTCCCCGCTTGGGGGCGTCATTCTTGGAGGTGTGTGCGTTCTTTGAGGGGGTGTCACTCTTGTGTGGTATCATCATAATGACATAGGAACCTTCAATTCCCATTGCCCAGACCTTACATAATCGTATGTGCGCACTCTTTTAATTCGATCGGGCACCTTTTTATACCATGAGTGTTGTACCAATTGGAGCACCACTTGAAATATAAGTTGATAGAGTTGGCATAAGAGGAAACAACAATTATGAACTAACAATTGTAAGTGAGGCATGAAAGTTATATAATGACACGAGAACCTTGATTTTCCTTTGCCCAAACCTTGCACAACCCTATGCGTGCACTATTTTTTTTGGAGTGAGCACCTTTTACCTTGAACTCCCATCTCTCTTTCTCTCATCCCTTTGTGTGTGTGTGTGTTGGTTAGTTGGACTGATTAGGATTTAATCTAGACGCCAACACTTGATGTGATTAAGGCCGCTTGAAATATACCCCTATAATGACACATAACCTTTATTTGTCATTGCCTAAACCTTTACACAACATGTATGTGCACTCTTTTTATCGAAGTGGGCACCTTTTATACCATGAACTCCTAACCTTTCTCTCTTTCCACGTCAGTATCCCATCTCTCTCTCTCCACCTATGTGTGGGTGTGTGTGTGTATGTGATGGTCCGACTCGGATTTAATCTAGGCGGCAACACTTGATGTGGTTAAGGCCACTTGAAATATAAGTTGATAGAGTTGGCATAAGAGGAACAACAATTATGAACTAATAATTGTAAGTGAAGCATGAAAGCTATATAATGACACGAGAACCTTGATTTTCCATTGCCTAAACCTTGCACAACCCTATGTGTACACTCTTTTTATTGGAGCGGGCACCTTTTATACCTTGAACTCCCATCTCTCTTTCTCTCATCCCTTTGTGTGTGTGTGTGTGTATGTGTGTGTGTGTCTGTGTGTGTGTGTGTTGGTCTATAGACTGATTAGGATTTAATATAGGCGCCAACACTTGATGTGGTTAAGGCCGCTCGAAATATGCCCCTCGCGGTGATCTAGTATCCTTGAATCTTTATAATGACACGATAACCTTCATTTGCCATTGCCTAAATGAGACACAACATGTATCTGCACTCTTTTTTATTGAAGTGGGCACCTTTTATACCATGAACTCCCGACTTGTCTCTTTCCACGCCAGTATCCCATCTCTCTCTCCACCTGTGTGTGTGTGTCATGGTCCGACTAGGATTTAATCTAGGCGCCATCACTTGATGTGGTTAAGGCCACTTGAAATATAAGTTTATAGAGTTGGCATAAGAGGAAACAACAATTATGAACTAACAAGTGTAAGTGAAACATGAAACCTATATAATGATATGAGAACCTTCATTTTCCATTGCCCAAACCTTACACAATCCTATGTGTGCACTCTTTTTTTATTGGAGCGGGCACCTTTTTCCACCTTGAACTCCCATATCTCTTCCTCTCACCCCTTCGCTGATCCGCAACATGGATCCGCGCCGCCACGCCCGCGGGTCGTCCTCCGTGGCCGCTTCGTCGAGCCGCCGCCACTCAGCCGATCCGCCCGCCGCCGCGCCCCCACGCGTTTTGCGGACTTACCAGACCTCCCTCAGCCGCGCCATGACGAGGACCTACATGGGCGTCCGACAACAGTCATGGGGGACATGGGTGGCTGAAATCACCGTCCGCAAGACCGATACGTGAAAGTGGGTCGATTCCTTCCACACCGCCGAGCTCGCGGCCATGGAATATGACCGGTGGCAGGTCTAGTTCCACGGCTGCGACGCGATGCTCAATTTTCCCATCGGCACGCGGCTGGTCAACCTTGTCCTATCGGAGCCGGGGGTGGTGTCCGCTCGGATGGCGCGGGAAGACCGGGCGGCGAGGGAGCGCCTCGAGGCCGAGGCCGCCACCGAGGCCTACATGGATGACCTCTACTGGCAGTAGCTGGAGCTAGTGGAGGCGAGCGAGCGATCTTCGTCGTCAATGACGGCGAAGTTATCGTCATCTCCGACGACGAGGGTAGCAAGGCGGGCGGCGAGGAGGGCGGCAATGCGGGCGGCAAGGAGGGCGGCGATGACAAGATCGACGTCGAGGAGTGGCGGAGTGTCTTCCCCGGCGATGACGACGACGACACTGGCCCGGACCCAACTCTCACCGAGGGTGAGCTCGCCGGGAAGGATTGGCTCAACCTCCACTTCGGCCGAAAGTAGTTTAAGTTTAGTTTTAGTTTAAATTATGTTTAATGTTTGGTTGCGAGAACTTTATGTGTTGAACTTATATTTAAATGCATCATCTTTCGGTTCAAATTTGATTGAATTTGTGCAAATTTAGTTATACTGCGCTAACTTTAGGGGATCGGCTAGGTGCGGCGAAATTTTAGTGGATTATATATACTCCACTAAGGTATATACTCCGCTAATTTTTAATGGATCGGTTAGACTTTTCCTTATATTTCTTTACGAAGGAAATACATACCAACTTGCACTTTTTTGGGGTTCAATGTAACCAAAATTTTACCCATAACATGTGTACGCAGAATCATAAAATTTTCTAACTCTCTCACTCTACTTTATCATTTTTCAGATGGCACCATCGAGCAACTAAACAGAAAATAGCAGTCATTACCACTAGCATTTACAACGAAAAATGATTTTACTCCATTTGTAGGCCGTGCTTGTGTAATATAGTCAGAAGGGGAAAACGTTCTATATTGAAATGTGCTTTGCTGTCGAATGGCACATGCAAAAAGAAAGAAACGTGCTTTGCAAGGTTGGTTCGCCAGATCAAGCCAAGAAGTAAACCCACGGGTTCGCTATACCTACTACTCCTGTTGATGTGGAAGGCTAAAACGAACGACCCGTGGCCTACGTCCTGGAATCCTGGGATCAGAGATTACCTGACCTATTCTGACAGTGCTAGTACTTTCTATTTCTTTAGCAAATCTTGACTCTTGAGGCGGTCTGTGATCCCACCAGAGTACTATATAACAACTAGCCTCTCATCTCACACTTACAAGTGGGTCCCCAGCTTACCACACAGTCAGAGAGATGTGGTTATTTAACCCAATCCTTCGACGAGTATCTCGTGGACGGAACAGTTTCCTTGGAGACTTGCGGCACGTTCAGTTTTCGTTGCTTCAGTTATAGCTTCAGGTCAGTTTCTCAATCTTTTCTTCAGTTATAGCTTCAGGTTCAATTTCGTTTGCTTCAACATGGGATGAACCTTGCTTTGCAGCTGCTCTCGCCAATGCTCCAGCGTGCGCCCGGCCTTTGGCTCGGTTGCGGACCATGCGAGGTGTAACAATCAAGGCGCTGAAACAAGAGAATAACGAACAGATGTACACTTTTTTCTGTAGCTAAACTGGAGATCCCGCATCATACCTGAGGCTGAGGATATGACACTCAAGGCCTCAACATCTTCACCAGCACTCCAACAGGGACCATGGCGCCTGCAAATACATCTTCAGCCCTAGCAATACTCAACATGGTCGAACTTCCGCTTCCATTGCTTGCACGGCCAGCTCGGAAAACTTCCATTCGAGCAACTAAGGGCTGTAGTACTAGTAGCAGCGAGCAGCAGCAACGATAGGAAGATGTTTCATCAAGGTCTGCAGCCTTGGTTGAAGTAGATGCCTTTTCTTTAGACTAGGAGCAATGAATATCACTAAGAGGACAGCAAGAACACGCCATGAGATGTAAATATGACAAATTCAACGAAGATTGGAAGTGAAATAAATTCAGCGCGTCACGGTTTGCTTCTGTCGCGTAATTCAACAGGTTATACTCCCAAATCAAAATCGAGCCTCTATAGAACGCAACTCTAAATCCAGAATAGGACAAATTGACAAGGAGTAGGAATACATGCCAGTTCATGCACTGGTAGTAGTAACTAGTACCTCGTCTCCGCATGGTCTTCTGTGATGCGCTGCCGTTGAGCGAACAGGCCGCATGCACAAACCAAGCGCGGGGCATACCTGCTCGTCGAGCTCGTGGACCAGTCCAGAACTCATTCTTCAAAAACACGCTTCTTTCTCGTGATAGTGTAACAGAGTATATAGTAGTACAAGACAACAGTAGCCTTTCAAGTTTCAACATCAGTTACCACTTACCACATAGGAAGGGACGCGAACATTTTGACCAATAGTGAAATCGTAAAGAGGAGCAGCCATCCCTGTAATACTGCCTTTTGTCCATACCTCGTTGTATGTACCCCTCCTTTTTTTCGACCGGCCAAGACATGGAAAGCAACCGGCCCTTCAACTGCATCCTGTAAGTGCAAGAGGGTGTAGGTGGTTCAACAGTCAATTAGACCCATGCAATCTTTTGGCGTTTACCTAAGTTGATCCTCGTCAGCACTGGTTTCCGACTGAATCAGAGAAAACGACACACAAATCCATGATGAAAACACGGCTGTAACAGGCCCAGCAAGATTAGGAAAACTAAAAGAAGATTTCAGTTCAAAGATGAATTAATAGTTGGTAATTGTATGATTTTTGGATGATAGATGACTCGCATCACAGATCCGAACAATGTGTTGCCGGTGCTTTGCACCGAATTGCAGTGCCAGGAGCTACTGTAACGACCTCTCATCAATGCCTCTCTGACTCACTAAGTCTAGCCTATAATAACAACAATGTAGTCATGAAAGCATACTTAGCATTGGTAATGGAATGCATGACTTCTGACTCCAGCGTCCTGAAACCAAAGAAACGAAAGGTGCCGAACCATTTGTAGTGCATACAGACAATAGATGTTCATCTTTGCTAAAAATAGATCTGGATGGATGGAACCGTTCAACGCCAAGAAAACAACAAAACATATAGTGTAGGGTTACCCAAACGGTCCATACTCGTGGCCCAATGCTAGAAAGAAGATGCATGCATACTCTGAATATTACTGCCATCGCAGCATATAGGTTGCCATTTTGGTCCGGTGCTCTCTAAAGTTCAGCACGTGGCTTCCCCTTTGGTATATGCGATCTACCATAATTCAATATATAGGTACCTTATCCATATAAAGGTTCGGATCTTGATGCAAATCAAGGGTTCCGATAGCACACTCTGCTGCTAGTGTAGATAGGAAAGCCGTTCTCTCTCTCTATATATATATATATCACCTCCCTTTAATAGTAGGTATATATATATATATATATATATACCTACTATTAAAGGGAGGTGATATTCTTGGTTTCGTCCCCCTTAGATGATTTTAGGTGATTCTGATGTGGTACTAAACTTTTTTGCGTCCAAATCAGCGTGCCGAACGGACAGTGATTGGACCGGCCCAGTAGCAAGCGCGGAACGCAAGGCCCAGCCCACTAGCAAGCGCCTAACACAAAAATAAAACTTAAAAAAGCTCAGCGCTATCACGGAGGTTCGAACACAGGTGCTCCCACTCCAATATGCATGCTACTAACCACCACACTAATGGCTGGTTGCAGCGTCAAACTTATAAGAATGCATTGGCAACAGCATATTCTCGCGGCGCTGTATGCTTGGCTACACAATGAGAATATTACATTTTATTTTGACCGGTCAAAGGTTTGGATGTTGGTTCGCTTCTAGAGCCGAGCAAAATAATCTTCGTGCAGTGCTCCACGTAATCCTTTTTTTTGGCCTTTATGTGAGGTTTGGATGTTGGTTCGCTTCTAGAGCCGAGCAAAATAATCTTCGTGCAGTGCTCCACGTAATCCTTTTTTTGGCCTTTATGTGAGCACTGCTCCACGTAGTCACCAACGAGAAAATTGTTGTCTCTTGGCACAACTAGAATAGCTCTCCTCCCGTTCACTATATATATAAAAAAGAAAAATTAGGCGCAATGTACGTGTAATCTGATCACTTGCTACATACCCAAAATTTAATTTAAAAATGTTCTAATTTTATGTGATTCTGCCTTTTGAAAAATGCCAGTAGTTTTTAAAAATCGTTCATGAATTTTAGAATGTTTATGTAGTTTTAAGAATATTGTTCATGTATCAAAACAATGTTTATATAAGTTGAAATGGTTCACCTTTTTCTCAAAAAAAGTTCATGTAATTCTAAGAAGTGTTCACATGCTTAAAAATATTTTGTAATTAAAAAACATTCATGCACTTTAAAAATTCCATGTGATTTAAAAATTATTTATTATTTCAAAAAGATTGTTGTTGCATTTTGGAAAACAAATATACAGTTTAAAAGTGAATGGGCCTATGAGAGATGGTGTATGCATGCAGTAGGTGCATATTGTAGCTTGGGGAAGGGCGCCCATCACCTCCAGCTCGACGAGATTAGTATATAACTATTAGACATTCACTTACGATGATGTTGTTCAATGGCAGGTGTGCGTGGGTTTAGGTAGTGGCCGACATCATCACCTTGGGATTGGCCACGTTCAGACGCATTGTGACCAATTAGACACCGCGACCATGCATGGTTAGTGAAGGCATGAAAGGGTATAAGTGACAACACGGAGGTGGACTATGTTGATATACATAAGGAGGACCAGTTGAGGGGTCTTAAGTTGTGCTTATTATACAACTATAGAAGCATGTATCTTTTTTTCTCCCGCTGCAACGCACGGGCATGTTTGCTAGTATATATATATATATATATATATATATATATATATATATATATATATATATATATATATATATATATATATTGCTATTCTAAGAATGATCATAATGCCCTCATGTTCGTATTTTATTTTATCGACACCTCTATCTCTAAACACGTGGACATATTTTTTGATATCGGCTTCCGCTTGAGGACAAGCAAGGTCTAAGCTTGGGGGAGTTGATACGTCCATTTTGCATCATGCTTTTATATCGATATTTATTGTATTATGGTCTGTTATTACACATTATGTCACAATACTTATGCCTTTTCTCTCTCTTATTTTACAAGGTTTACATGAAGAGGGAGAATGCCGACAGCTGGAATTCTGGGCTGGAAAAAGAACAAATATTAGAGACCTATTCTGCACAACTCCAAAAGTCCTGAAACTCCACGAAACTCAGTTTTGGAATATATATATAAAATATTGGGCGAAGAAAGCAGAGAATGCCGGCAACTGGAATTCTGGGCTGGAAAAGGAACAAATATTAGAGACCTATTCTTCACAACTCCAAAAGTCCTGAAACTCCACGAAAGCCAGTTTTGAAATATATAAAAAATATTGGGCGAAGAAAGCACCAGAGGGGGGCCATCCACCGTCCACGAGGGTGGGGGGCGCACCCCTGCCTCGTGGGCCACCTGGCAGGCCCCCCGATGCCCATCTTCTGGTATAAGGTGTCTTTTGCCCTAGAAAAAAAATAGAAGAAAGCTTTCGGGACGAAGCGCCGCCGTCTCGAGGCGGAACCTTGGCGGAACCAATCTAGGGCTCCGGCGAAGCTGTTCTGCCGGGGAAACATCCCTCTGGGAGGGGGAAATCGTCACCATCGTCATCACCATCGATCCTCTCATCGGGAGGGGGTCAGTCTCATCAACATCTTCACCAACACCATCTCCTCATAAACCCTAGTTCATCTCTTGTTTCCTATCTTTGTCTCAAAACCTCAAATTGGTACCTGTGGGTTGCTAGTAGTGTTGATTACTCCTTGTAGTTGATGCTAGTTGGTTTATTCGGTGAAAGATTATATGTTCAGATCCTTTATGCATATTAATACCCCTCTGATTATGAACATGAATATGATTTGCAAATAGTTACGTCTGTTTCTGAGGACATGGGAGACGTCTTGTTATAAGTAGTCATGTGAATTTGGTATTCGTTCGATATTTTGATGAGATGTATGTTGTCTTTCCTCTAGTGGTGTTATGTGAACGTCCACTACATTACACTTCACCATTGTTTGGGCCTAAGGGAAGGCATTGGGAAGTAATAAGTAGATGATGGGTTGCTAGAGTGACAGAAGCTTAAACCCTAGTTTATGTGTTGCTTCGTAAGGGGCTGATTTGGATCCATATGTTTCATGCTATGGTTAGATTTACCTTAATTATTCTTTCGTAGTTGTGGATGCTTGCGAGGGGGGTTAATCATAAGTGGGATGCTTGTCCAAGGAAGGGCAGTACCCAAGCACCGGTCTGTTGGGGAACGTAGCAGAAATTCAAAATTTTCCTACGAATCACCAAGATCTATCTATGGAGAAACCAGCAACGAGGGGAAGGAGAGTGCATCTACATACCCTTGTAGATCGCTAAGCGGAAGCGTTCAAGAGAATGGGGTTGAAGGAGTCGTACTCATCGTGATTCAAATCATCGGAGATCTTAGTGCCGAACGGACGGCACCTCCGCGTTCAACACACGTACAGCCCGGTGACGTCTCCCACGCCTTGATCCAGCAAGGAGAGAGGGAGAGGTTGAGGAAGACTCCATCCAACAGCAGCACAACGGCGTGGTGGTGGTGAAGGAGCGTGGCAATCCAGCAGGGCTTCGCCAAGCACCATGGGAGAGGAGGAGGAGGAGAGGCAGGGCTGCACCAAGAGGGAGAAGTTCTCATGTGTTTAGCAGCCCCAAACCTCAACTATATATAGGGGGAAGGGGGGGGCTGCGCCCCCTTTAGGGTTTCCCACCCCAAGGGGTGCGGCCAAGGGGGGAGGAGTGCCTCCCAAGTCAAGTGGAGGCCTCCCCCTTTAGGGTTTCCCCCTTCCCATGCGCATGGGCCTTGGGGGGCTGGTTCCCTTGGCCCATAAAGGCTAGGGAGCCCCCTTACAGCCCATGCTACTATATTGGACGTGGTGGAACAATTTCCGGACCTCCGTACCCCTCCGGAATCCTCCGGAACCTTCTGGAAGCTTCCCGGTACAATACCGAAAAAACCCGAACTTTTTCCGGAACCCGAACAACAACTTTCCATATATAAATCTTTACCTCCGGACCATTCCGGAACTCCTCGTGACGCCCGGGATCTCATCCGGGACTCCAAACAACATTCGGTAACCACATACAAACTTCCTTTATAACCCTAGCGTCATCGAACCTTAAGTGTGTAGACCCTACGGGTTCGGGAGACATGCAGACATGACCGAGACGTTCTCCGGTCAATAACCAACAGCGGGATCTGGATACCCATGTTGGCTCCCACATGTTCCACGATGATATCATCGGATGAACCACGATGTCAAGGACTCAATCGATCCCGTATACAATTCTCTTTGTCTAGCGGTATTTTACTTGCCCGAGATTCG